TTGTTACCTGTCCACCAAAGTTGTGTGTGCGTGTGTGTATGTGTGAGGGAAACGGGGAATCTTGTTAAGCAACTCTCTTTTCAAAATCCTCAATAGACACACACACACATGCACAAACGCCACAGTCACAATCATTGTGTGTATATATTTACATTAATTTTTTGGAGGGTAAAAATATTTTATAAGTTGAATTTGGGTGAAATATGCGTGAGAATACTAGATAATGATAATACGGATTACTATTATTGCTACTATTATTTCTGTCGTTTCAAGATTACCGATAGACATCATGTTTCTCTAAATATCTAGAGGCTTTCAACTGATGAATAGCCTGAGGTGGAAGATATTCACATACAGTTGTCTAGTAAAACATGCATTTCTTATCATTCTCACTTGTTTAATCTGAAATATAATTCAGTCATTTAATTATGTCATGATATTTTGTGAATGTTCATATAGTCGGATAATTATTGAATACCCACATGAGATGAGCTGAACCAAAGTGAATTTTCAACGTAGTACATGACACAAAAGTCAAATAGTTCATTAAAAGGACATACGTAAAGGAAAAGAAAAACACAATAAAAGTGTGATGAACAGAAGCCTATAAGATAGAGAATAGTTATACGGGGAATAATGAGATCTGCTGGGAGATATTTTCGACAATCACATACTATATCCAAGTTTCCATCTCCGGCTGACGCAGTCCTATACCTCAGTTAACTTACTATCCAATAATAAGCCTGGAAAAGACAGAAGGCTGGGCGTGAGGTTAACAATCCCACGCCATTAAGAAAAACAGTAATGAGTTCAATTTCCTGGATCTAAATGTAAAAAGAACAAACGAAGGCACGATCGAAAAGTTCATCTATAGAAAAGAAACCTGGACTGGACAATATCTTCACTATAACAGCTTTCGTCCCATAAGCTATAAACGTGGATTAGTGAGGACTTTGTACGACAAAGCCAGGAAGCTATGTTCACCAAACAAGGTCAAAGAAGAACTAGATTTCGTCGAGAAATGCCTGAAGGAAAATGGATACCCTAAAGGATTCATAGCAGAGAAAAAGATAAGAAGGAAAAGCACCCAACTGTAGAAAAGAAACAAGTGTTTATTTGTCTCCCATTCAAAGGAGATTCAGTGTCACAAAAGATTGACAGAAGACTGAAAGGAGCAATAAATAGAAGCTTCCCGGCTTTAAAACTCATAACAGTATACAACACCACTCCTTCTATAATCCACTCAAAACTGGATAAATACTCTGCTGACGTCACCTCCAACTGCGTTTATGAATTTACGTGCACTTGCGGGAGCAAGTACATTGGAAGGACGGAAAGAAGGGCTTCTATCCGGTTTTCTGAACATATTCCAAGAAACATGTGCCTAAAAGGAAGCAAATATTCCCACAGTGCAATTATCAGACATATTGTTGATACCGGACATCACGTAGAGATTTCTAATTCCTTCAAAATATTAAATAGACAAAGGACAGCAAATTCACTACGATTTTTGATGAAGCGATAGCAATCAAACGACTTAAACCAGACTTATGCATACAGAAAGAGAGTGTGATTAACCTCTCATTGTTTTGGTAAGTGAATTTTGATTTTGATTACACTAATCAGTCATCTAATTCAGTGATCTCAACTCACTGGACAAATCTTAATATCATAAACTGTAACCGTTTTTGTTTTCTGAGTTGCTATGTGAACCTACAAACTAACACAGTTCTGTTAATTAATTATTTTCTTTTTTCTGTCTTACCTTTCCCCCCTCCTATCAACTTTGAAAGCGTATAAACTGATGATGAAAACTTAAACTAAAAATTGTAATGCTTTCATTTTGGATGTGTCACTTGTATAGTATCTCTTCTCTACTACCACTCAAACAATAAAGTATGTTATTATCATCTATATAACCATTGTAATTTCAGGTAGTCTGCAGCTGATGAGAACCTGCGAAATAGAATGATACCATTTTAAACTGCAAATTTCGTTTTCCTTTCTTAACACTGTACTTTATGCACACATAAAGCTTTAAGGAAAGCCTGTTTGTATGATCGCCTTCTAATCAATTATACAGCTAAATGAGATGACTTAAAGCATTACAAATTACGTGGGTGCATGTTGAACGGGTGATACAGATGAAATCTCTGGAAACAGAGAAATGGTTGCAAAAAACTGTCCATAGAATAAAAAGAATCGGTAAGTGTAGAATTACAGAGCTGTGAATACTATTTTCTATATTCAGAAATGCAAAACTAGAGGAAATCCAGCTTTATTAGCCTGATTACTAAGGCTTATGAATCTTTTCAGGTGAAACTAATAAGTTACACAGGTGTTTTCCATTCCTTTTGGTTTTTTCATCGTCAAGTTAGCTTAATTGAATGGATTGGTTTTATATACCTACCTAAAATATTTCTGCAAACATGCAAAGGAGGTTACACTATTGTTTAGAAAATGTATAGATTTCGGCACCAGTGAACTTCTTTTCTTGAAGTACTGAATCTGTGTTCTCCTAGCAGGTACGTGGAGATGAACAGAAGACAAGGAAATAATTATGATTACAATGTTGTAACAGAAGAGAAAAAAGATAAAATAATAGATAGCAACTACTTATTCTGTACTCAGATATCAAATAGAGATAATGACTTAACATTTCCTCTTATGTATACACTCTGTGAAATCGTGCTTTTTCTCAGCCACTTAGGCATCCTTTAATCGTTTGTGATCACAGAGCTCCAACAGACTCAGTAGTGAACTGTTGGGCGGTTTACACTCTCTTCTTGAGAGCTCAAGGGAATAATGCTTTCACATTTCCTTCTACGCTCTGTGCAAATGGCTTCACAGCAGTGAGAAGAGTTCATTGAGGTGGTTCAGAACAAAAGCCTTTTATTACAGTATCGATGCTGGTAAAAGAAGATGAACTTGGGTTCCATGTGAAAGAATGATTTTCCAGAGAATTTGAACATCCCACTTAATCCAGTTCCTATATAAGAAATACCATGAATAAACCTTTTCCGAAGCACTATAAAATCTTTCTGTGTATTACTCTTGTGAATTTTTTTCTTAGTAAATTAACAAGACAAATATTCTGAATGACTAGTTGTCGAGGTCTGTTTAGTTGTTATTGTCACCACCTGTACAAATTCATCTCTTTCATTATCATTCAACACCACATGATCAGCACTAACTTTATGATCCTGGGATATATTTATTGATCCAAGTTTAAGTGTATAAGACTCGTTGCCAACCACCGATCATTGCTTATTACCTCAATAATGCCTCATTATTTCAATGGTACTTCTTGTAGTTTCATTAGCAGTCTTATTGAAGTACTTTGCATTAACACTTCTACCAGTAGTTCAATCGTTGGATGCTCATCAGACACAAGGATAATCGGGGTTAAATTTCCAGCCGACTCACTCCTCACCTAGTTCACTGGCAGGTAATAAGGCATGTTACGGTTAGGTGTGAGAATAGCAATTCCAACAACATCTACCATACTGAAGCTTAAAGAAGCGCTTTCGGTTGTAAGTCGTTATAGAATCTTATTGGATTGCTTATGAGATATCGCACTTCTTCAAACAGGTATTTGGTTAGTCCGAACTTAGTTTTTCTCGTGGGTGGGAGAATAAGACATAACAGGCAAACACTCAGTTTGTGGCAGGCATAAAATCGAGATTGAAAGAAACCTGTGATTACATTCCATGGTGTTTTTCAGTGCTTATTTTCCCTTTATCGAAGTTTATCTAGGGTTTGTTTTCCATAAGAGTATGTGGCTTATTTGGACTTGCCTCCAGTCTCGGTATGTTATTTTCTCTTGTTGGGAATATCTTTTCCCAGTGTGTATCTAGTACATGCATGTCTAGTGAATTATACAGCTTCCTTCGCGACGAATTTTTAAGTATTGATTTTTTGTAGGGATTTAGTTTGATTGGTTGGAGGATTTCATCATGAGCTGACATTGGTTAGAGAACCACTGGAAAACCTGGGAGTACTGGACAGTTGTTTCGTCCTAGTTTGGGACTCTTCACAGTCCCAAACTGAAGAGTTCCAAACTAGGACGAAACAACTGTCCAGTACTCCCAAGTTTTCCAATGGTTCTATAACCAATGTCAACTCATGGTGAAATCTTTCAACAAATTTTTAAGCGAAATTCTTTATAGAGTCGTGTAAGCAAAATAATTTGCATATGAACCCAATATATTAATTTATGGCAGAACTATTTCTTTTCTTCTCTGACTATACAATAATTCGATGTGCCTACAATTATATTCAAAATTTCTGCTACTACTTACAACTTTATAGTAGGCTGTCTTTGCACTTAAAAAATAAATGATGACAGCTTGAAATTAAACTATGTGTATAAATAGAAGTTACTCGACGAACAATAAATACCAGTCATTGTTAGTAAAAGGAGTTGTCTGTTTTACTTTTCTGGCCATAATTATTCACTCTATAGACGGAACCGGTAAGGATGTCGAAGCCAGAAAGGATCACATCGGGAAAGCAAAACAAACTCTCGTTACTTTGAAATTACTATGGTGATCTCCCACACGTCCCACAAAGAACAGTATGCGAATTTTCAGCACTAACATTCAGTCACTGTTTCCGTATGGTCCAGTAACCTAGTTCACGCGTCATCAAAGCATTTATAACAGGCTTTGAGCCTTCATCAACAGCTGTCTTCACTTGCTCGATATTGAAGATCATATGACTTGCTGTAAAAGACAAGGAAGGCGGAACTCTGGCAGGCAGCGAATCAGCCAGCAGCCTGTCGACCAGCTAGCGAATGTGCCGAAAGAAATGGAGATATGTTGGACATCCAGATGATATCGCATGCTAGGCAGGCCTTAGAGTGGAAGTGAATTGGAATCAACGGCGTTGGACGACGGTGGATAACGTGGAAAAGATCATGTAAGCAGGTGATGAAAGCCTATGGCCAGAGAACTCAGTGAGGTTCCTATGTGATACTGAAGCACTATATTCTACTTGGAAAGGAAGAAATGAATAATAACAATAAATCATAGTCGAAGAAAGGTGAGTTGTAGTATTTTTTTACCAAGCTGTGTATTTTTGATCAATAAGGTTTGTTTGTGTGGCCCTTTAAGGCAGGAAGAGTGCGGTGTCGGTTATGGTTAGTCAGGTAACAAATTATTGATATAAATTCACTGAATTCTTGTCGGCCGACAAATACTAAATGTGTGATAGCCAAGAGGATTGACGAATTTTCCCTGATAATTCAGTGAAATACTATAATCTTTTGCGTACAAACAATAAAACTGAAATATAATATGAACAGAAATGAAAACAGTTAAGTAGAGATGCGACTAGATAGGCTAGAATTCCCTTAGCAATCTAGAGTTGTCCTCCAACCTCAGAAAACAAGAGTTATAGCTAATCAGTGACTGGAGTCAATAATATCGATAGAGTACTACACGCGAACTAGAAGTTGGAAAATTATCTAAACTCGTAAAAAATAATTAGTAACAACGTGAAAACGATATCCAGCAAAGAGACTCTTTTCAACGAATTTATTATCAAGCTTTACACTCATATATGCCTATTTACGTGTATATTTGCCAGGATAAGTTCACATGAATATCCAAAAAGATGTACAGTTGATATGGTTGAACAGTGTAAGCTAAATAGAGCTTCCGTTCAGTTATATCTCGGTACTTTGCACCGAAGTTGACTGAACCTACATATATCACCTACCTTAGTGTTGTTCACATCACCAGCCACACTGGTAATCTTTGACCAGTACTCAGTTTCATATTCAAACAATGTCGCTTTGTATGTGTTTGATTACCGGAGATTTTAACTATGTTATTGCGCCTGTTAGCCAGTAAGATAGAATTAATGCTGTTATTATGGTGAGGCGGAATCTTAAATTACTAGCCAAATGTTTTCAAAATATTTAAAACACCTCTGAGCCTAGCTGGTATTCTGTAAATGACTGATACCGCTTTACCCTGCAGTTTGAAATATTATCTGCGAAAGAGAATTACATAATTTGTTGGTAGTTGTCGTAGTGAAAAATTTAAAACTTACTAGTAATGTGTGATTGTATCGATCCCATAATTTTGAAATGGTTTGCTTTGACGCGTCATAATTACAGTCACTGTAGGTGGTCTAAAAGTTCACTGCGTACTGAAATTTGCTTTTATGCTTCTGTCGATTTCTGTGACCTTCAGAAATAACTGATTTCTTAAAATTCATCTTTAATTTTTATGTTTAATTTTCAAAAATACTTCCTCTTACTCTTAGAGACTATCCTACTTTAGGATCTAAGTTGTGCTTGCGCTAGAGGCGGGAAAGTTTTATCTTTTGAATGAATACAGTCCACTTAGTGTGATTTGCACAGCTGGAAACCAGTACATAAACCTTTTTGTCACGTTCTCAGGTACTTATTTATGTGTCGTTCCTTTGTTTCCTTCTTGAAAGGAATAATCGACATTGGTTTGCTTTCTGTGAATTATCCAGTGAAATGTTTTGTACCAAACATCGTTTTGACCCTAGTTTCTCTTTATGAGAACTTAATTTGATTTTCAAGTGTTGGTTTGTAGGGATTTGATTGGTTACAGGATTTCATCATGAGGTGACATTGGTTAGAGAACCATTGGAAAACCTGGGAGTACTGGACAACCGTTTCGTCCCAGTTTGGGACTCTTCATCAGTAGGTATCACCGGGGTTCGAACCCAGGACCTTCTGGTTACAAGGCGAGCTAGCTCGCATACCATTAAGCCACTGGGACCCGATCCAATGGCCCATGAATTCTAACTTTTGTTCGCCTTGTAACCAGAATGTCCTGGGTTCGAATCCCGGTGGGTGCGCACTGTGAAGAGTCCCGGACTAGGACGAAATAGCTGTCCAGTATTCCTAGGTTTTCGAATGGTTCTCTAATTAATTTGATTTGTTTAAATGTTTTACTACCTTTTTGATACTTCTCATTTTTAATTTGTTCCAGATACGTTCATCGTGTCTTATTTTTCAATCATTTGCATTTGCAGTAGAAAACACGGCTGGAAGCTTATGAAATTCCTACAGCAGTAGTTTTGTCTTTACGGGTTAGGACTGCCAGCTTTGCCTTCAACCTCTCCTCTATTCTGAGCTTACTATCGGTTAATCAACCAGGCAAAGTTAGGAGTGTGTTTGCCAAGAATCTACCCCAGAACATGTGTGTGACCAGGGTGAATTCTACGACTAAATCACTGACGCCGTATGTCCTGCAAATGGATAACCTACTTAGTATTCAGTCATCATGATATATGAACAGCTACTGTATTCCTAAAATATCTTTTCTTCTTAAGGTTTCCTTTAAATTCTTCTTTTTCCCAGATTTATCACTTCCACACTTTATTTTTTAAAGGGGAGAGTGAAAAAACGAGAATCAATAATCAATTCTATCAGCAACTGGAATAAAGCTAACCTATTGCTTGTAAACCAATTAGATATTTCATATTTCAGAGTGAATTCTGATTGGCTAAGAAACACTGACCTTATTGATTAATAATAAATAGCTAGATGCTTAATAGAAGATGTAAAATATATATCAAGATTGACTGTATATCCAACAGTTGAAAGCGTTCCACTGTTTTTGTGGAAAATAAATGTTCACGCCAGTATTCTATGCACTGGTGATTCAGTTGACTTTATTCAGCTACCTTAACATCGATTTATGTTCATGTTATCAATTTTCAGAAAGAGAAGTTATTCGACAATTGTTAACTAACTATGAACCAGCAAGTCGACCTGTCAAACTGGGCAATGAAACCCTGGAGGCATCTGTACAAGTGATTTTACAACAAGTAGTTGATTTAGATGAGAAAAATCAAATTCTACTGACTTCATTGTTAGTTCAACTGAAATGGATCGATCAAACCATCAAGCATAGAATGTTACAATTGTATAAACACAGTGAATTTGAAGATCGTTTAACCAGTCTTGTATTGCCATCATCACGTGTTTGGACACCGGATTTATATGTGTATAATAATGCAGATGATGGTAAAAATGGACTGCTGGATGTTCGACAGAGTAGAGTACGTGTCAGTAAAGGAGGTAAGGAGCGAGTGGAAATATTTCACAAAATATTTATATGTATATATTGGTTATAATAAATAACGTTGGTACTTCTTATGCATTGCAACACACAGTTTTGTCTGTAGTTCCTATGATCAGCAAAGGTATCATTTTGAGAAATAATCAATAAAAGTGTAGTGTGCTATCGAACATTCAATATGCTATCGCTAAAGTTGTGTATTTTTTATTGTTTTTCCCATGAGTCGCTGTACTGGTGGAAACTCTATCATAGATTCTAATCCAGAGAACTGAACACATGTGCGTTTTTCTCAAAGTTTTATAAATCACAATACAGAAAGCCCCGTGTATTGTCTTAATCTTAATGGAATAGCCGAATATATACGACACATCATAAAAAGATAATTAGAACGGATGGAGCGAGGAAATAGTTTTCTTTTCATGTATATAAGACAAAAGGGGTCTGGAACTTTCTTATCCCCCTGTTACATATTCCCAAGTGTACAGCTGAGCTGATGACTCATTCAAAAGACAGACTTTCTCCTCACTTCAGCTGTCACTTAATTTTCTCACTGAAATAACTAAAGGTTCAGATTTTGATTCATTCAGTAGTACAGTATAGGTAGTTTCCGTTTGACATATCGAAAAATTTACTGAACGGCATAAGAAGTAGCTTCCCGTATGAATATGACAACTTTCAGCAACTGTTTAACCTGTAATGTAATTCACTTCCTCCTTAAAACGATAATAGGGATTCAGTTGTAACAAAAGAAGTCAAGGCAGGGAAATCAAAGTATTATTTTTCATTAATCAAACCGCTGTTTATATATCTACAGTTTATATATTCGTTAACCAATCACTGAGCGTGTAATTTCGGTTTACACCAAAGGACATGAAACAGAATGTTCAAGTATACATAGTATTCTTTGTTAATGCAGTATATAACCGTGGGAAATGTATTCTGTCTCTAAAGTAAAATAGGATGTTCAAATAGATATATCGCATACTGTTGTTAATGCCGGATCGAACTGTGGGAACATGTGAGAATAACATTCCGTTGGCACACATTGTCTGTATCACACCATCACACAATGAGTTTGGCGTAGTGTTATTGTTACATCTTATGCTTATTTCCTAACCCCCGTGTTAAATGGTATAACATTGTGAGTAAAATTGAGGTCAGACATGCAGAGTTAGATAAGGAGGCCAAGTAAATCAATGAGGCTGTGAAGCTGCATCCATTCAGATGGCTACGACGCATGTTATGCATTCCAAGCGATCGCCTTCCCTGTTGAGCAATGTCTCACGGCGATGACGCAGATGCATTCATTCATTCTTTATGAACTCCTAGATTTATTAAATTCACATGTAATCAAACCTTTGAAATAACCATGAGTCATTTTGAGCATCAAAATACAAGGGCTTGATTCCTTTCACTAAGATTTTCTCAGTGTACACAGAAAAAGACTCACCAACCTCTAGAATTTCGAATTATCAAACAGGCGTCCTCAGAATGTTTGCATTCAGATATTATTTGTTTACCTCTACATTTTTGGTCTACATATTTCAAATAAATTGTCATGGTGATTGTCTGTCATAGTGTAGACGAGATGTTGCTCGTGTGCTTGTTGATAACTTTACATAAAGTGATGATGTACTTCCGAATTTTTTTTCAAGCCTTCAATCACCTTCAACAGAGTATCAACACTCCAGTCAACGTAACACCACTGGAATTCACTAACCGTTTTAGTGTAGTTCATATTATCACTACAACAAACTTCTCATTACTAAAAAACCTGGTGAAGACACGTCACATGATTCTTTGAAAGTGTAGTTGTTTCTATTTTTTTATTTGCATCACTGTCTTTAGTCAGACCCACTGTTGAGAAAAATCCTGTGTATATCCCAACACAGTCGCTTTACTAATCAAGCAGTTAACACAAAAGATTATCTTCATCTACCTATGGCTTTTACTCTCTTTAACCTCTTTCGATAACAAATCTACAATGAGTTTGTCCTGCAATCATGTTTCAAGTGGGCTGGATGCAACCTGATAGGTGCAGAAGCGCGGTATGAAGTTCAGGTTACTTGTAATAATGAGCGTGATAACCGATAAAATGATGGGAAATGAATCTTCTGTAACTGAATTATAGTGAATTGTTTGCATATGCACTAATCAAAGCCAAACATTTTAAAAACCGTCTGGCAACAGTTGTCAGTCATTAGTTCGTCCCTTCCCTAAGAATCCCTGTGTAGCGTCTGAGAGATCATTTGACACTATCAGATATGGCTCAGACTACAGTTCAATAGCTAATATGCTGCATTTATATAAGGTATTTTATAAATATACCTGTAGCGGTAGAACGTAGCAATATTTTGTAGTAGCAATGACAAAATACAGAAACCTTACAGTGAAATTTCCATCCGTATAACCTCTTCGTATTCTGCTTCTTTCGTCTTCCTTTTATGTCTTCCATACTGTTTCATAAGTAACTTTTATTTTCCCTCTTTGCAACCTAATTTGTCTGTTGGCTATTCAAGATTCTTGTAGAAGACATCATGGACGATATACTACTTATAAATTTTTGATGGTATCACATGCCGTATACCTACCTACCTACCATATACTTACCAGCTTCATTGTTACTCCCCGTCTTATTTTCTGCATAATATATTTGGATTATTCTGTGTGACTCATCTCGTTGTGCCAAGTTCACAGTGAAGTAATAATAATAGTAACAGTGATAATAACGATGATAATTCTTCTTCCTTACTTTTAATATTGCACCAAATACCCGATAAAAACCATTATGTAGGGTACACTAACTAACTGCCTACTTCTTTATGCAATGGACAGCTGTTTCGTCCTAGCCTGAGACCCTTCATCAGTACGCTCCAGGTGAGCTTCGAACCCAGAACCTTCCGGTTACAAGGTGTGCTAATCAGCTCATGATAAAATCTTGTAATCAGTCAAATCCCTGCAAACCAGCATCTGAATATCAATCTGATGCTCACTCACTAGCTACCGGCCCTATTCAAGTAGTGGGTTCTAGTGGGAATTCGTGACCAGTGGGGTTCAGCCGGTCGGGTGTGAGGACAAATATTAGCCGATGACACTGGCTAGTGGTCGCACCGGCGGTTGCGTACTGATGAAGAATCCCAAACTAAGACGAAACAGTTGTCCAGTACTCCGATAGTTCTCTAGCCAATATTATCTCATGATGAAATCCTTCAAAGCAACATTTGAATGTTGTTTGTGTAATATTTTCTACGTGATGCCTACAGTGTATCGGATTTCTAATGACATACACACATATCTTGATTTTAATTTACTGCTTCCGAAATAGAATGGATACGAAAGTTTTCCTTTTATAAATGCTTTTATTAGTTATAATAATAAATTAAACTTCGTTCTATTTACAACTCGTCAGCTAAATATACTTATGTCCTAATAGGTTCATGACCTTACTGAGAGCGTGTACTGGCACCCATTACTTCACATGTCATAACAGATACCTTAAAGGCATTATCGCGGTGCTTTTTGCAAAGGTGGCATATTATTATTGTTCCCTTGGGTTCCCAGTGGAACATAGGAACTCAACTGCACGTCTCCACTTGCTTCTGTCTTCTGCTGTACTTTTCACCTGCATCCATATTACTCCATACTGTTTCAACTCTTCTTCACACGATCTCTTCCATGTCACCCTTGGACGTCCCACTCGCCGCTTCCCTTTCTGGTTCCACTCGAGCGTTGGCCTGACGCGCGATGTCACCCAGCGGCCACCTCAGCGAGTGTCCAATCCATCTGCACTTTCTCCTGCATATTTGTTGAGCGATTAGTTCTTGTTTTGTTTGTTCCCATAGTTTCTTGTTGGTTAAGCAGAATACACGAAATTAAGAATTACACCAAAAGAGTAAATGCCATTATTTCTCATTTTCACTGGCTAAGACAGTTTTTTTCTAAAAATTTATGTTTAGGTGAAGTGACTTGGAATCTGCCTGTCAGCGTACGGAGTTCATGTAATGTAGACGTGTTGTACTTTCCATTCGATCATCAAATGTGTGATATACAATTGGCTTCCTGGACCTATGACCAGAGTCAACTAAAGTTGAATATTGTACCAGTTAATACAAGCATAATGCTGAGCAAATTAATTGAAAACGTTGAATTAGCTGTACCAGAGTTGAAAATTTATCAGGATTATCGGATTACCGTCGGTGGACAAAATATTACGCAAGTAAGCCTTTTTAATAAACTACGTGAATGACTAATTGTCAAATAATCGTCAAACATTAACAAAAATTGACATGCGCTTAGAGGTATCTTGCAAGTCAATATCATTTTTAATAATTTTGTAATATAAGCCTGGTATATAAAGAAGTCTATGAACATAATTTTCTTTTAGATGGATATCTATTAACAACTTGTTCTGAAACAGTTCACTGCCTCGTATGATATTTAGCTGAGCATCAGGAAAACAAGAGGTTTCGACAAGATCTGACATTTTAAGCATCCATATCAGGAAATAATTTTTGTAAACCGCAATAAATCGTCGGTTTACCTCTTTAGAACTAAGGACACTACAATGTGTGAAATTACAGAAATTTTGCAATTATGCAGATGGTTGAGTCTAGGCTTTTGAACAAACATAATGAAGTGTGCGGATGAAATTTTTTTCATTCCTTCACATTCCCACTGGAACATAGGGCTTCAAGCTAGAGGCTTGAAGTTTCTATAGCAGTGGTGATTATTTTTACAGGATAGGTTTACTAGTCTCATGCCCGACCTCACCTCTTTACTAGCTTTATTTCTGGCTCAGAGAGGTGAAGGGGTGCGTCTTCCGGGGATCAAACCCGGGACCATGTGCATGGTCGGCGAGCGTCCTAACCCCTATGCCACCGACGCACAGAAAAGATATTTATATATATGTGTGAATGAAATACTTAGAAGTAAAAACCTTTACGATATCCAGTAAATATTCATTGTATACTTCAGTATTTGTGGCTTATTATAAACCCTCATTTGTAAGTGTGAATAAACTTCTAACGAAAACATGTATCTAGTCAGTAAGTTTCATTTGATGGATAATACCGTCTCGCTAATTTCTACCCACTAATTCATCTGCTTTGCTAAGTACTACAAAACATAAATATTAGGTCATTCAGAAGGCTTGAATGACCAGACGTAAGACTGACGGTATAACGCATGTTGCCGGGCCATTCAGAAACATCATGGTTTGATGAACTAGAAGTCGGATACATTTATTCCAATGTATTCTGTCAGTTCATGCTATATAGTTGTTGCCAGTGTTACCGATCAGTATTTTCCTCACGCTCGACTTCATGGATCCAACTAGTGGGAACTTCTCTGTAGAACTATAAGTATTCCGTCGCGAAATCAGTTATCATAAAATCAATCAAATTTGTATATATTCAACCCTTGAAATCAATCTTTATCAATTGCTAATTAAAAATATAGGTCAGTAAGGGATTTGATACAGCAGTTCATTGGTTTAGGTCTCCACACCCAGTTGGAATGTGAACAACAGATGTTTAACAGTAACAGAATGGGTTTTAGGAAAAGATCAGTAATTGTTAGTTGAGGAGGACTGTTGAGGCATTGAAAAAGGTGATTTAGTCTTTGTCACTATACCGTGATGAAGAGGTGATTTGGTCTTTAATCACCAGCACTGAGTAAAGGCTGTCATTTACAAAAGCATTCTCCACCTAGTTCTGACTTATTTAACATTGTGTACATATCAGCTGTATGCAATTGTATTCCACTTTGAGTCTTTGAGTCTTTTACAATCAGTATAAATGGGAGGAACCTGAAAGAAACAGCCTCCTTTACCTACCGACCTGGGAAGCATCGTTTCAACTACAGGCGGAACTGACGAGGATATCAAAGCAAGGATCGGGAAAGCAAGACAAGCTTTCATTACTCTCAAGTCTGTGTGGAGGTCAGCAGCACTCAGCATCAAAATAAGATCCGAATTTTCAACTCCAATGTGAAGTCAGTCAGTGCTACTATACGGGTCAGAGACTTGCACTGCGCGTCATAAAGAGCATCTCAAGCAAAATACAGACCTACATCAACAGCTGTCTTCGCTCAGCACCACTCCAGATCAGATGGCCGGTCAGAAAAGATCAGCAACGAGAATGGATCTCTGGGAGCGAACCAACACAGCAGGAACCGATTGTGAAACAAATAGGCAGGGAGAAATGGAGATGGATTGGCCATACTCTGAGGAAACCATCAAGTGACATCACCAGACAAGCAATTGCTCGAGTGGAACCGGAAAGGGAAGCGGCGAGTTGGTCGTCAGTGCGAGGGTGGGTGACTTGGAGGAGGTCATGTGAAGAGGAGATGAAAATGTGTGGGCAGACTTGGAGCCAGGTGAAGACTCTAGCAGAGAACCGAACGCAATGGAGACGCGCGGCTGAAGCCCTATTTTTCTCTAGGAATTAAAGGAAATAATAATAAGTAATAATAACTGAGTATTTAGACTACTGATAAGTTCCTGTACTACATCAGAGGTGGAATGTGAAAGTAGCTTGGCGTTTGCAGATTTCAGTGGCATTTCGTGAAGCACTATCTTTAAACTAGCTGATTAAATCACAAAAACTTTCATATGAATGGTATATAGCTTAATAAATGTTCTCATTCATTGTTATTACTATTTTTATTATTACTATTATTATCATTTCCTCCCATTTCTTTTGTATTATGACAGATAAATTTAAGAATACACATTTATAGACGGGCTTTATTCTACGCCTATACCGTGATTGCACCCAGTATACTATTATGCGTATTGACTATATTCAGTTTTTGGCTACCGAGTGGAAACGCAAGGAAAATCGACATGGGATTAACAGTATTTCTATTCTTGTACTTTTTACAGGTAATAATGAGAGATTTTCGAGTTTATTTTCAACTATGATATCTGGTATGTTGGTAAATCTCAAGGTGTGAATGTTATGGTTGTTTTCGTTGCTTGTTGAAGTTGGCTTTCCTGACATCAGTCTAGGTGCTTGTTATGTTTTTTCAGTATCTGTATTCACATTCGAATTGATCTACTTCTGAGGAGTCTATTACCTTGTATTTTTGTCTTCATAACACAACTTATGTCACTGTGCTTTCTCGCGTGATGGGTGTTCCGAAAGTCTCACTGGTACATTCTGAGGGCGTCTCTCATTATTCATTACTTGGCAAAGTTATTTGGCCTTGTATAACTCCTTTGCACAACGAAAGAGTTTTCTCTTCTTTAGAATAAGAGTCTAAGTTAGAAGCTATATTAAAAGTTTTATTCACAACTGGGTTTTGAGACTACATATCTTTCACCTATTTACCTGAATTCAGCGCTTTTAGGGATCTCTTTTCACTCTTCATATTAGTATCTTCTAAGACAGTGTGGATAATAATGACCTACGTATATTCAGCTGATCGATTTTATAGTGTCACACTTCATAACCTTTCGATGTGCATATATAGGATTAGTATATATACATATACATATATATATATATATTTAGCAGTAGGTTTGGCGTACAATATTTGATCTTCTTCGGATATGGAGCCCCGTAGTTTGTAACAAATACTTTGAAAATCTTTCTGAGACACATCTATGCTACATTTTCGTCAAAGTCTATCCAATTTTTCTCAAGCATTCAGATTTCCAAAGGCGCTTTGCTGTCATTCCTTCTATCCAGATGTTAGGTTGCTAGATATTTATTGAGAAATATCGCGGTAACAGTTCTGTTGAAATATCTTGTGGAGATAAAACTTCTCTGTCGCTATATTTTTGTACAGTAGGCGACTTTTGTGTACTTGAGTTCCAATCTCTTGCTACTGCTGTAATGCAAGATGTGGTGTGTATGGGTCAACTGGTGTGTTTGTGTACTATAATTTTCTCTATTAACACTCAGGGATATGAGATTATTTCAAAGGATTTGGAATCCACTTTTTGTAGTCTTATAATCGATACTGCTATTAGTCTAAGTCATTGCACTAGTGCCCTGAATATAGGTTTTGAGATATAAAACCCCATAATGGTTCCTTCCTTCAGCTCTTATATTTATCTTTTAAACTGGAAATCAGTAAAACAGACAGGCGGGGATTAATCCTGAATTTATGTTCTGTTTTCATAAGTTGTTTAGTTTTTTGTCATTGCTTATCTAAACCAATACTTCTCATTTTTGTTAAATTTTACTGTTGTTGAGACGAGTGGTGATCTCAAAGAAACCCAGAATCCCTTCTGAGTTTACCTTAACATGTTATATCTTCTCCAGGGACTACTTCGCTGAAAGAAGTTTATTAGTTAGGTCCATAGAAAGTGTAGGGATTCGTTCAATTGAGATAAAGAATTAATGAATTCTTTTTCGTCTATTGAATCATGCAAATGAAAAGCCATTGAACTTTGTTTTTTTATCTATCTGCGTTGGTGATCTGCTTGTTAACTAATTTGTTTTACTGCCGATTCGTTTCAAATTAATGCTATATTGCTTTGTTTTCCAGTTGGTCTAATACCTTTTAAGGGTACTTTTTGCTCCTCTACTGCTTGCCGCCGTTTCTTGTTCACTATTCTCTGATAACTCTACAAGTCACTTTCATTTCTTCTTTTATCTTTCGTGTTTTTCATTCCTTTACTTTCCGAATGGATTATACGTCTTTCACGCCTCATCTCTGAAGTTTCTGTAAAGCTGGTGTTTTCTTTTACAGTGCAGAGTTACTGGCCTCACGGCAAACCCCCTCTCTCTACCGGGTTTACCACCAATCAGGCGAGTTTTAGGAGTGTATCGTCTGGCTATCGAGGCCGGACTAAGCGCATGTTTGGGAAGCATTTTACCACTTAACCACTTTTTGTTTTCTTTTCTTTATTATCATTTGTTATTATAGGCTGTGAGATTAAAGTGAAGTAAATAGATATTTCTCTAGGGAAAATAATTTAACATTGACACGAATCTAACATCTTGGTAACTGTATCCCAGGTTTTCCAATGGTTCTGTAACCAATGTCAGCTAGTGGTAAAATTCTGTAACCAATCAAATCCCTGCAAATTGACACTTGAATATCCCAGGGACTTTATTAAGATAGTTTTCTCTGGGTTTTGGAAATAATGGCAGTAATAACACTTGTGCCAATCTTGATATTTTCCTTGATCCCTATAAATCTAAGGAAATTCAGAGCACGTTGAAGGTATTTCACAGTAGCTGAAAGGTGAGAAACTTTGCCATAATGTCAAGTGAATGAATGTACAATCAGTAAAATTAGACTGAAAAATTGTTAATATTAGCGCTACACGACAAATTGAAAAAAAATCATCTATTCCATTGCAGTCAGTTATTGGTTATGCTTATAGTCTGTCTATTCAACAGCAACAACTCGTAGCCAGTATCTGCATTAAGTTTCTTGAAAACCTCAGCTTACACTTCTCGTTAAAATTAAAAGAAAGATTTTGGGGCATTGTACGACTTTAGTTTGTCAGCTAACCATAGATTTTATATGATTTAAGTTAATTGTGAATGTAAATAAAGATTGCCAACCATTATGGCACCTAGAACTGTTGCATAATATTGCGAATCGATGCACCTATCACCTCATCTGTACTCCAAGTTGAAACATAGTTAAAGAGACGATAAAATAATCAAAATATTACCAAAACTGTTAAGAAAACTCAAAAGAAGGGAGAGAAAAAGACAATAATGTTGTGTTAAAACTATAGTATGATGGCATGTTCACTAACAGAATTGGTTTATATCAGACCACACGTGGAGTTTGCAGCTACAACTTTCTGTTGGTTTATCAACTACAGACACATGTGACTCATACAGAGATTTTAGTGACTTTGGTAGCTTGGTGTCAGTAATGCTGAGAGAAAAATTGCAAAATATGAATATTTACATGAGAAATGCCTCACTTATGGTGATTCCACTTTAGGAAAACACACAGAGATGAAAATCAATAGAATGCAGAGAATACATTACACCAATAAAACTTCGAAATACGTTATACGGTTATCTAACTCCAGAACTAACTACTGCAGAACATCTTAGAGATAATTTAGCCATACAAACACAGTAATCTGCATTCACTTTTACACCAATGAAGACGATAGGAAATATGCTGATTAAGATCAAGCATATAAACGAAAGCATAAAGACAGAGAGAAGGACATCTGATAGTTCAAGTTGGTTTATCTCATTTTCGCTGTATAAAAATAATAATCTTAAATGTTGTAACATCATTACCATCTTGCTAGAGGATTGGTTATCTTGAAAAACTGCCGAATAAAATGAAGACTTACAAACAATTAATTTGTTATGATGATTTTCTGTGTTTAGCCTAAATTCAGTCGCCTGACTGACACTAAAATATTTAATGTCTAGAAAAAAGTTAATTATCACTAATTAACATCATCAGAATGTCAGAAGATGTAGGCAGTAAACGTTCACTAATATGCCTGTATCGATATACTTATGTAAGTGATTACTGATATTCTGCTTTTTATGAAATTTTAAAATTTTGCTTACTGAAATTATTTGAACAAACAGTATTAATGGTTGAGCGATAGGTAATATGTATTCTTCTTCCTCTTTTGTATTATAGGTAATGATTGCAGAGAATACACCAGAGTCAAATTCAACTCCATTAATTGGTACTTTCCTTACTATGGTAATGACATTGAATTCAATCTCGTTAATTTTCGCTACCACGGTATTACACATACATTTACGAAGTAAAAGTGAACCATGCCCAGAACCTCATCCATTATTATGGCTTCTTGTAACAAAGGTACTCGGTTATTTGGCAATGGTACCATATACTGGAGAAATTCAGATCGACTCCAATGTACGTTGTGAACAAGTTCATAATGGTGTTAAAAGTCAAGCAAAAATTAATCTCAGTAATAACACTGACAAGAACAGAAAAGCACTTGTAGAAGAAAATAACAGCACTAGGTCTTCCTTTGTTGCTGCTAGCAGAGATAATCCTGAAAATATTTATGAGCAGTATAATCAAACATCTGTTTTAGCTAAAAAGCAAACTTTAAAAGAAGTGAAAATCGCACGCTGGCTATATATCGCAAGAGTTGTGGATAGGATATTATTTCAAGTGTATTTAATTACAACTCTAATATCAATTTTCGTTTTTCTCATCTATTTACCTGCTTCTTATGATAAAAAGATATAGACAGCATCTCTTATGCATATTTTTTAAATCACCTGTGAAATCTGTCTCATCAAGCTGATTTAGATAATTAAAATAAACTGATTAAAGTTTTCAGTGAGCTTGTATTTGACTGGAAATGGTATACATTTGAATTAGGTTACTGAACACATATGAGATGAGTGATACCCACTAACATTTCATTCTGGATGTTTCCAAGAGGCTTTAGACTCAAGTCGAATGCTAGCTTTTCGATACTTCTCAAGCGTTTGTATAGTTTTCAGGACATTTATACTTCCTTTTGGAATCATTCCTTACAATGGTCACACAATGAGTTACTCAAACAAAGTCACTGTGGAGCTCAATGATGTACATCTGGAACTTAAGAAGGATATTTTCTGAAAATCGGAAACATTGTACTATTAAATGCTGAAAAGTCCTTCCGAATCCCTTACAAATATTTAAAATCTCTTGGTATAATTCTGCAGCTACCTGACGTCTTACTCCAGATTTGTGTTCAATAAATGTATTGTAGTGCGTGACCGTCTTGTGATGAGTACAACAGCTGTGATTGGCGTCACTAATTCCTAACAGTGTGATCCCCTCAATTTTATGAATATTCCAGAGTGAATAATGTCCAAATCTAATCAAAAACTCATTATGTAAGACGGTTACAAGACTACCTTTGAAATCAAGTACATTTACTTCAGGTCTTCATAATCTTTTCAAACAAAAGTCTGTATTTCTCTTAACAAAATGAAGATCTTCCAGACAGTGGTTCGAATTCGCCGACAGATTTCTTTCCCGAACTAGGATTATTTAAGGTCCAACATCTGCCAGCACTTTGCCATCCTCCAGTGTCACACTTTACAACACAACATGTTGGACTTACCTCTAGTTACGACCTACAACTTTGGAGCTCTTAACTATGATTATGATTGGAAACTAAGTGGTTTAAAAATTTTATTGAGTTTGATGTTTTTGCTGTCCTACATGAATGACTTTACAAGTATGCGACAGCGTTTTATGCAGAAGAAGAATAATTCCTCCAATATAACCAAAATCCTGCAGAAACAAAGGTGTACGTTTCCATTGCACTATTCAAATTCACTTTATTTCGAAATAATGTCAACCTCTAACAACTGTGTACAAACTTCTTGAATCACCATGAAATCTTTTGAAAAAATAATTAATTCTTCTTTCAATTCACCTTATTTCTTAAGTGAAGACTTTTAAAATGAGCTATTTACCACTACTGATCACACTATTTAGTCAAAATAGACATATAAATGCGTTTAGCGTAAAAAGTGATAAGAATTTCATTTTTTTCATATATTTATTCCCTTTTACGAATTCGAATAAAGCAAGAGCATTAGTTTGCGCAAAATAAAATGGTGTCAGCATTTGTTTCGTTGGCTTCTCATCAGCTGCTTACAGCCCGAAGGAATTATTATGTTTATGTACAATTTTAACATGCGCAGAGAGTTCACTTTTAAACGAAAAAGCAATATATGCATACAATGGTAATAATAACATTAATCACTTTATCCCAAACAACAATGATAATCATACAGAATGGAATTTTTCGGCGTAACGTAATCAAATGAAAGAGAGGATGAAAACATCCAGTTACCAGGGTGAGGAAAGACTGATAACTGCTTCTTTGTGAACACATAAATCGGGTTTGAGGCGCTTGATGGGGATTGCTTCGGCAAACTTTAGGCAAACTCTTTTGCCTATTGATAATTTTGAACGATCTTGCGATGTCCACCTGATGAGCCGTGTCAAGGAGATGCCTAGCAATGGTACTGTTGAAATCATTAGTTCCCTTGAGACGTAGTGTTTTTGATACATGTTTAGAAAATCGGAGTTATGTCGTTCCCTGTGACACTATGATTTCCCTAGAAACAATGTTTAGAATTTTTCAGGACATGGTTTTCTTAAGCATTACTATGCCTAACTACCTACCTTTTTGCCCATGAATAAATGTTTGCATTTATTCATGCATTGAAAGAAAGATCAAGGGGAGTCACAATGACATTTAAAATTCCTAACTTTTTTATACAACAGATTTTTTTATTTCAACTGTGTAACATGATTAGACTGGCTTCAGTGTCCGGCCTAAAGAAGCACAGTTTGTCAGCATATGATAAAAGTGGTTTTGTTATTCTGCACAAAAGGTTTAACTGTATTTCATGCATATACTGGATGAATTTTTCCGATAGTTGTCATGACCAGTCAATTAATTTTCCTTTCCTACAGACAGCCTTCACCGAATATTCATTTTCTCTTCTACTCTGCAAATTATTTCTCAATAATGGTAGGTACATCAGTATTTTAGTAAGTAGAATTTAAAGCTTGTATAAACTAAGTTGCTTAGTAGCAGTGACATGACAGTTAATTGACGTTTAAAATATGAGTGTTCAAAGCATTATATAGCATAAAAGCCCTGTTCCTATCCCATTGGTAACCATTACTTGAGTACTAGTATATAGGTTTAATGATATAACTAGATTATAAAGCAAAATAATCACAGGAGTTTGCGGCAGGCTTCTGAATGATTTGTAGTGTGAATACTTTTTGACTGATAATGCTTTGTTTGGTTGTATTTTGAAGAAATATTATTCATGGACCTTTCAATGGATTTCTGCATACTCTTCAGATAACACTTAAATTGACATGTCGGTCTGCTTGATGACCCGCTGAAGGTTCCAAAACTAGACTAAAATTCTTGTGCTTCCTACTCTGTATACAATGAGGAGGCCAGTGGCCGTAAATACGTGGAACCACCTGAAATGCTTGGATAACCCAATCGATAGAGAGCGAGTCTATAGCCCATTGGCTGCCAAGTGAAATCATGTCACAAGTGATGTTCTTTATTGTTTTCAACCATCATCCCTGAAAATAAAGTCTGCGATACTGATCACCAAACTTTGATAAACCACTGGACGGTATACGTTTCCTGGATAGAAACTGATTTAAAGTCAATGATACATGTGTCAATCTGTATAGAAACCATAGCCGCTACTCCTTGTATGCAAGAGCATGCGTTCTGATCATTTTTATTGTAAAATGAGTCACATTCGTGGCTTGAAACTATTGGCTAGTTTCAGCTCAATAAAATCTAACTGATATATATATATGCCATGCAGTGGTTCCGAGTGCAATGAAAGTGTTTTTTGGCTCCCAGTAACTTTTCAGACTATAATAATTTTCACAAAGCAATAGCTATCAGAGTGTACTCCATGGAATGCTTATAATAACCATGCATTAAATTTAACAGTACACAGTATATTTCAAAAATAAAGCTCAATGAAAACCATTGGAAACACAACGTACTGTCTAAATTCATAAAAACATTCCCCCATCTGTAAACATGTATGATTCATCGAAATCAAGAGCTCCTGTAAAACAGGTTTAGCCAACATGACTTGTCATATAACATGTTTTGGGGTATTAAGAAAGTAACGGTCAAATCAGTATGCAGTAGGACGGCTTGTAACACTCAGTAACCATCTGTGGAGTTGCACCATTTACTGCACTTTTTAAAGCTTCGACCAACTAGAAAGTAGGTTATGTAATATTAAAGAAAAAAAATGGAAAAATATGCTTTCAGCGAATTAAAGTACATTTACTTATTTAATTATTTGATTATTTGTTAAAATTCAAGTGTTAGTAAGAATAAATAATAACTAAAACTGTGGCTTTAACTCAGTTTAACGAACCCGCCTTTAATGAAATTCAGACTTCGATTTCCTTTAAGGTAGCTAAAAAAATACACAGGATCTATGAAATTATTCAAGTCGGTAAGTGAAAAATAACTTATTTGTTAATATTAAATGATAATTGAGTCAGATCGCAAATAGACATAAGTCCATATTCCAGTAGATTTCAGGTCACCATGAGATTTAACTGTCGTGATCACAACATCATACATTTTATTCCCTCGTCAATTTCTTGTAGTTAAAAATTGCATTATTGTCGATTTCAGACCAAATTTAGAAGTATTTAATGTCACTTTATTCGTGTTTTGAATTTTTAACTTGCGGTCACTACATAATCTATCGGTGACAACTTTTCAAGTGAGTCATATGTTTTGGGCATATATGGACCAGATTACACGAAAGCTGTTCATATTACTATCCCATGAAATTCACTCCGTCATAATAAATAAAATCCCTGCTGTTAGTCCTTACATTCATAAGAGTAAAATCTAGGCTACTTAGAACACATACGAATGATAAATCCATCTTCTCTTTTGATTAAATCCAGTCGGCCATACAGTGTAATATTAACAAAACCCAACCAGTAGCTGCCACCACAATGTAGTAAACTGGCTCACACACTGCAGTAACTCAATGAACTATAACTACCGGACTGATTACTCCAGCACCACTTAAAGGTTGGTTTTATAGCTATTGATTAAATGCACTCACCCTCATCATTGAAGTTCCTTGAACTGTTCTTTAGGCGTGTGGGTGAAGTTGTACTGCTGGATGAAAATAGGAATGGTAGCAGGCAACCATTAGTCTAGCCGTACTGTGTGCTTATTTTAAGGGGAAGCAGTATGTAGAAAAGGTTGGACCAAAAATCTGACATCTCAACTTATTTTACAGTTTTTTCTGTTCATCAGAATTCATTACCCTCTTACATTTCTGGTGCTATTCCTAATACAGTTCTCTGCTATGTTATTAACTACGTGACTGCTACTAGAGAAACTGTATTCCTATGTAACAACAGAAAACAAGGGCCAGGCAACAGATCATTTATTAAGGAAATCAAAGCATATTTATATATTTACATGTACATTATTATAGTTTAGTTAAGCAGACAAACACAGTCTTCTGATTTTTTGTTTCTCACGTAAAGTTAATCTTTCATCTCTTTGTGACTGTTTCTTGAACGTCACATCATCTATATATTAACTGTATCCACCTACGCAAAGTCTTCTGTGGTCGGTTTTGAATCAGTCTTTGTTCATGTTTTCTCACGACAAATCTTGAGAACGTAAACACTGACGTAAATTACTGTCTACCAATTTGGCTAGTAGACAGCTGTCACCACACCTAGTCTCACGAAACCATGCTTCCGGTTTCTCGTTGGGGTTTTTGACATTCCAGTACTACATCATATCGGAAAAAGTCTTCAATGGCCAGAATGTTGCTCTGTGGGCTATATTGTGTCTCTGATGCATCAACATAGCATTCAAGCAACGTTATTCATTTAAACACATCTGATTATTGTGATAAGTCTATGAAAATCACCTTATGGTTAACGCAAGGTTCTCGTGAACATTGTGATGTAAGGATAACATTAAAATGTGGGGCAAAATACTGAT